TTATCTATTTTTGAAAGGCAGAGATACAGAGAGGGAGAGACAGAGAGATCTTCCATTTACTGATTCACTTCCCAAGTGGCTGCAATAGCCAGGGCTGGGCCAGGCCAAAGCCAGGAGCCTGGAACTCCATCTAGGTCTCCCATGTGAGTGGCAGGGGCCTGTGATTTGGGCCATATTCTACTGTTTTCCTAAGCACATTAGCAAAGAGCTGGATCAGAAGTGGAAAACCTGGGACTTGAACTGGTGCTCTTATGGGATGCTGGCATCGTAGGTGGCAGCGTTATTAACTCACTGCACCACAATACTGGCCCTTCTTCCATTATTATACTATAATTTGACCAGATCAATTCTTAGTATTCACAATATGACTGCTTAAAAATGACTCCAGGGCCAGCATTGTCATGCAGGTTAAGTTCCCCACTTACGATGCTGAGCTGTTCTGCTTCCTATCCCTGCTAATGAGCCTGGGAAGGCAATGGAGGATGGCCCAGGATGGGCCCCCACCACCCACATGAGAGACCTGGATTGAATTCCTAGCTCCTGGCTTTGGCCTAGCCCAGACCTGAACGTCGCAGATATTTGGGGAGTGACCCAGTGGACAAAGATCTCTTTGTCTCTCCCTCTCACTAACTCTGCCTTTCAAATAAATTAAATTAATCTTAAAAGAAAAGAAAAAAAAGATTGCAACTGAGCTATGGAGTATACCTGGTTAGCTCTCCTTCTGTGTACATTTTCATTTTTCTTGAAATGAATAATTGTTTCTTAAAATTTACTTTTCTTAGTTTTAATACATTAATTTCTCATCACTAATTCTACTCAAACTTTTTATTGTTTATCTAAATAGTTTCTTTCAAGACATTATGACACACCAATATCCTAACCATTTCATCATTTTCATGAAATTGTTCTCAAAGCCTTCTTACCACCTCTGTTTGGGACAGGCTATGGATGTCAACCTGGAATCTCCTAACTTTACCAGTTTTGGGGGGATTCCTTTTTGCTTCTTTCCTTTGTTGGATCTGTTTCCTGGACCCCCATATTCCTTTCTTGCTACAGTCACTCATTTTAATAACACACATCTTTCTGTAACTTCAAAAGAAAGGGTACATTAGAAGTGTAGATTTTTCTGAGTATAGAGTTTTGGAGACATCTTTATTCTATACTCATACTAGATTGATACAGAGTTTGAGTATATAGAATTCTAAGTTGGAAATAATTCTACCTTCTAGTATTGCTATTCAGCAGAAGTTATGCTAATTCCTGATCCTCTCTTTTTTTAAATTGCATGCTACTGTTTTATGATGAATGCGCCCTTATTGTATTTTTTTAAGATTTATTTATTTATTTAAAAGTCAGAGTCACAGAGAGAAAGGGAAAGACAAAGAGAAAGATCTCTTGTCTGCTGGTTCACTTCCCCAGTGGCTGCAGTGGTCAGTGCTGAGCCAGGCCAAAGCCAGGAGTCAGGAGCTTCATCCAGTCTCCCACATTGGTGGCAGGGGTCCAAACTCTTGGGCCATCTTCCACTGCTTTTCACAGACCATTGTAGGGAGCTGGGTCAGAAGCGGGGCAGGTGGGACACAAACTGGCAACCACATGGGATACTGGCATTGCAGAGGGCAGCTTTACATGCTATACCACAGCATAGGTCCCAAAAATTCCTTTCTAAATAGTATTACTTTTAAAATATTGTTTGCTTGTTCGCCTTGGCCTCTTTCTTATTAAAGGCTTTCCTTAGAAGCTTGATGAGCCAGCTGCCTGTTTGTATCGAAAAGTGGGGGACTGCACAGTTAAATGAGTACTCTGAGTCCACACTGGACTTGTCAATCGTATACCGTACCGCAGGGTGATCTGGCAGGGCCATTTCATCGGCAAACCCAGTTCTCGGTATTTCCAGATGTTTTCTTTTAGGTTAGTCAGATTTCCCAGAACCTACTCCTTCAAGCTCTTGCTTGGCAGGCAGAGACCTGGCTATTAGCATTCTGAAGCACTAAACGGTGCAAGCAGGCAGGATGCATACCTTTACTCCTTTTCTCAGTACTGTACCTGCCCCTAATGGTAACTCAAATCCCCAAGTCCACATACCCCCATTTCACCCTCTCCAGAGAATAAATCTTGGGTCTTTGCTGGGAAAGTGAGTGCATCTAAGGAACAGTGGCTTCTTACATAGTCGATTAGTCCTCCTCATTTTAGTTCATGTCCTCTACTCTTCTCCTCCAATCATAGGAGGCACATTCTTAGTACTTCCCTCTCCCTGTTCAGTATTCCAATTTTTCAGGACTCCTAAATCATATAACTGCACATCTGCTTTCCAATTCCCAAAAGTGTTGTTGCTGTTGCTTTTTGTCCTATTTCCCTCATCCTTATATGAACTTACTGTTTTTTTTTGAAGAAAATTATTTTACCATTCTTTTAATGTGTTTTAGGAGAGTGTAAAAGTATGTCTATGTGTTAAATGCATCACTTTTACCACAGATGCTCCCTTGAGGTCATTATGGGGCCAAAACCACCTCCTAACTGAAAGTCACAAGCCCTTTCAGACATTCACTGTTGTGAAAGCATACAGGAGATGCTCAGCCTAGAAAGACGCATTTCTATATGCAAAAGGCCTGTCTGTCACTGTGTCCCAATTTACGTTTGGTAGCTTTAGGTTGACTGTGTGCCTCAACTAGGTATTTCACTTATCAATATGGGAAAATATTTAGGTTAAGATTACTAGAGGGGCCAGTGCTGTGGTGTAGTGGGTAAAGCCACCGCAACAGTGCTGGCATCCCATATGGGCACTGGTTCAAGTCCTGGCTGCTCCACTTCTGATCCAGCTCTCTGCTATGGCCTGGAAAAGCAGTGGAAGATGGCCCAAGTCCTTGGGCCCCTGCACCCATGTGGGAGACCCTGAAGAAGCTCCTGGCTCCTGGCTTCACTTGGGTCAGCTCTGGCCGTTGCAGCCAATTGGGGAGTGAACCATCAGATGGAAGACCTCTCTCTCTCTCTCTCTCTCTCTCTCTCTGCCTCTCCTCTCTCTGTGTAAATCTGACTTGCAAATAAATAAATTAATCTTAAAAGATGGTTCACTCCCCAAGTGGCTGCAATGGCCGGAGCTGACCCAATCTGAAGCCAGGAGCCAGGAGCTTTCTTGGGGTCTCCCACGCGGGTGCAGGAGCCCAAGGACTTAGGCCATCTTCCACTGCTTTCCTAGGCCATAGCAGAGAGCTGGATCGGAAGTGGAGCAGCTAGGACTAGAACTGGCACCCATATGTGATGCCAGCACTTCAGGCCAGGGAGTTAACCAGCTGGGCCACAGCACTGGCCCCAAATAAATAAATCTTTAAAAAAAAAAAGGTAACTAGAACAGTCACATATTAGAGAGTCTCGGAGCTTAACTATTGACGTTGAACTTCCTTATGATGGTTTTCCATGGTAATACATGACAGGTAGAGTTACAGACAGTGAGAGAGAGAGAGAGAGAAAGGTCTTTCCTCCCCAAATGGCCGCTACGGCTGGTGCCGCGCTGATCCAAAGCCAGGAGCCAGGTGCTTCCTCCCAGTTTTCATGTGGGTGCAGGGGCCCAAGCACTTGGGCCATCCTCCACTGCCCTCCTGGGCCACAGCAGAAAGCTGGACTGGAAGAGGAGCAGCCGGGACTAGAACCCAGTGCCCATATAGGATGCCGGCACCGCAGGCGGAGGATTAACCAAGTGAGCCATGGTGCCGGCCCCCACAAGATGGTCTTAATTCTAAACAGAGAAAGAGATTCTAGATAGTCCAGAAATAACATTCCAAGCCACATTTATTACAGGAAAAAAAAAAGGAAAAAAGCCAACTTTTTGGGTATCACTTTGAAACAACATCAAACGACATTCTCAGCTCATCATATGCAAAGGGACATCTGAAGGGTCTTCAAAAAGTTAAAAAAAAAAAAAAATGTGTATACAAGGGCCAGCGCTGTGGTATAGTGGGCTAAGCCTCCACCTACGGTGCCAGCATCCCATGTGGGCACTGGCTCATATCCTGGCTTCTCCTCTTCTGATCCAGCTCTCTGGTATGGCCTAGGAAAGCAGTGGGAAATGGCTCAAGTACTTGGGCCCCTGCAGCCATGTGGGAGACCCAGAAGAAGCTCCTGGCTTCAGATGGGCCCAGCTGCAGCGATTGTGGCCATTTGAGGAGTGAACCAGAGGATGGAAGGCATTTCTGTCTCTCCTCTCTCTTTGTAACTCCACCTCTCAAATAAATAAATAAATTTTATTAAAAATATGTATATAAAGCCCACTATGCATGAGTTTCAAAAATTTCTATATCAAAAAAACATCTACTTTTTTTATTTTCAAAGATTTATTTATTTGAGAGGCAGACAGAGAGAGAGATATACACACACACAAAGAGAGAAATTCCCTCTGGTGGTTTACTTTCCAAATGCCTGAACCAGCTGGGGCTGGGCTGAGAACTCAATGCAGGTCTCCCATTAGACAGCAGAGACTCAATTACATGGGCCATCACTGCTGCCTCCTTGGCTCTCATTAGGAAGCTGGAGTCGCCAGTCAGAGCTAAGTATTGACCCCAGATTGTCTGATGTGGATTGTAGGATCAGGTATCTTAACTCTGAGGTTGAACTCCGACTCCCAAGCTTAACTTTTAATTCCATTTTTCCATTTTTTAAAGTACCCTAGTACCATCATGGCATCAGCCATGAATGCAGTTCTCTATCCAAAAATTACTTTTTATGATTTATCGTGAGTAGATCAAGATCATAAGACTAGGTTAGCCAGAAATCAGAATTAGCAATTATACAGATGTTTCTTAGTCAATGACGAGAAGCAATCATTTCAACAAGTGACTCTTCCCCAAATCTACCTGGACAGAAATCAACATGCAGATATTCAGATAACCATAAAAGCAGCTCACATTTGCTATAAATTTCCATTCTAAGGAACCCAAATTCCTGAAGCAAGTCAACATTCCAACAGCCAGGCTAAGAAGGCTGGGAAGAGGCAATAAAAGCAGTAGTACCTGCACTGATCCCCCATGGCGGTCTGCAGCCAAGTGAGACGTCAGGTATGAGGTATTGGTCTGCCGGCTGGGCTGGACTTCCCACTCTCCTCGGCGGTCTGACGACACAGTCTGCTCAGGCATTAGGAAGCATGAGAGCAAGATATGGAAGGAAAGGTGAAGCAACAGCAAGCAATAACAAAATCAAGTACATTAGAGTCTTGTGGGGTTTGTTTTTGTTTTGAATTTTAAACAAACAACCGTTGCAAAGCACTGAGAAACAGTTAGCATGGCTACATTCATCTCAGCCTAACGTGCCAACACATGAAGTCTACAGCACATCATCTTTACCCACAGAAAAGCAATGATCACCAAAGCAGAAAACAAAAAGCTAGAATCAACTTGTAGCTCCCATATTAGTAAAATTTCAGTAGCCACTAAGCAGATCAAATTCAGAATGTTCAGACTGCTGGACAAAGGAACAGTCCTCCTTACAAATAATTTCACTGATTAAATATCTGAGTAGACAGTAGTCAATAAAGAAAACTCCTGTATTAGTGATCAAGATAGTATGTTTTTTTCCCTAAATAGGGAGCCTATTATTCTCAACATTAATCTCCAGGAGACTTTCTACTAAGATAAAATGACCAAGATTAAGATAGCTTCTTATCTAAAGATGACCAAGTATCCGTACAGCAGTCAGATGTCACAATTAAAAAGCAGGGATAACATTAGCTACAGCCCGCACCGTGGCTCAATAAGCTAATCCTCCACCTAGCGGCGCCAGCACACCGGGTTCTAGTCCCGGTCGGGGCGCCGGATTCTGTCCCGGTTGCCCCTCTTCCAGGCCAGCTCTCTGCTGTGGCCAGGGAAGGCAGTGGAGGATGGCCCAAATGCTTGGGCCCTGCACCCCATGGAAGACCAGGAGAAGCACCTGGCTCCTGCCATCGCATCAGCGCGGTGCGCCGGCCGCAGCGTGCCAGCCGTGGCGGCCATTGGAGGGTGAACCAATGGCAAAAGGAAGACCTTTATCTCTGTCTCTCTCACTGTCCACTCTGCCTGTCAAAAAAAAAAAAAAAAAAAAAAAAATTAGGTTACGAGCCTTTTTTTTCCAGTTTCTCACAATTGTCTTTAGTTTAGAATTAAAATAAGTCACTGACATGGCTACTATGAATTATTTTTTTCCTGCAAAGTGAAAGGCAGATCTTTTTTCAACAAAAGGAGGACCTTCAATTCAAAACCTCTTTGGGGGCCTGTACTGTGGTGCAGCAGGTTAATCTGCTGCTTGTGATGCCAGTACCACATGGGCATTGATTCAGGCGCAGATACTCCACTTCCAATTCAGCTCCCTGCTAATGTGCCTGGAAAAGCAGCAGGAAATGGCCCAAATCTTTAGGCTCCTGCCTCCCATGTGGGAGACTCAGATGGAGTTCTAGGCTCCCAGCTTCGGCCTGGTTCAGCCCCAACTGTCCCAGCAATTTGGGGAGTAAACCAGTAGATGGAAGATCGCTCGCTCTCTGTGTGTCTCTTCCTCTCTCTCGAACTTGGCCTTTCCAATAAAAAAATAAATCTCAAAAAAAAAAAAAAAAAAAAAAAAAAAAGAAACAAAACTCTTTGAAATTCTGCTTTCACCTTTGCTGTCATTCAGGCTCTCTTTATTCCTTCTTTACCTGTTTTTTAGATTCCATACTATTCTCATCTCCCTCATATGTGACTTTTGTTTTGAATAATCTGTTTAGGTGCCTCCTCCCCTGTACCAGATGGCTGAGGAGGCGTTAACATCATGATGCTCAGCTGTAACAACCCTAAGGCTCTACAAAAATGAAAAATGAGTAGTTGGGGAGGCAGCAATGAGGGATTAGTAAATCAAATTTTAATTGCTGCTGATATAAACAGCAGCAGGGGTTGGGTGTGAGAGTGCTGTTCTGCATGACAACCAGTAAGGAGCCTATCAATCACAGAATGTTCACAACTGTAAATGCTGCATTCCATAAAGAAGAAAAGGAAGAGGAAATGATGGTTTCCAAACCTATGTTCACTCTCCCCTTTCAGTTACCTCATTGATGAGTTTCTTAGAGTTCATCCACAAGTCACCCTAAAAGCATTTCCCATAAAAACCAGAGCCTTCTACACAAGCTACAACTTACTCATCCTTATTAATAGAATATGAAGTCACATGGGTAAGAACGGTGTAAAGGATCGGCCATGTTTTCTGATTTTCCTCAGGGAATAAGCATATTCTCAGAAGGCAGCTATATTAACTTGCTTGCTATACAATCTTAGAAAAAGGGGGTTGCTTGTATACTGCTAGTCACACAAGAGCTACTCCAAATATCCCCTCCTCCTAATTATTTCTGCCAACACAGGTTCAGATGTTTTATCTTCCAAAATCAACCATGGAAAATAACAAAATCATACCATTATTCAAATTCACTGACAGTGACTATATCCTTAGAACATTCAATCTCATTTTGCAGACTACTAGAAATCCAAGAGGAAATCTGTACTTCTGATGTTACAAGCAGCATCTATGACTACTATCTATTAGAGATGGCCTCTGCAGTTCTCTCTAGGACTTTATTTTTTGTAATATTAAGTAGAATTTTTAGGCTCCTAAATTATTATTCAATACTGCCAGTTCTCCCAAAATTTAAATGCTTAAAAATGTCCATTTATAATATATTCAGTATGCTTTTGAGTTGTATGCACTCAATACAATTACTTCTCGTAAACATTCTTTATTTTTGTATTTGTTTTTCAGGCAGATAAAATTAAAAATGTGTGAAGAAATACATTCATTATATATGTTCATGACTCAAAGATGAAGAAAGCCCTGGGTATTATTATTTCCATTTTAATTAAATATACATGAGAATTCTGGTTTGATGCTATTGTCTGATTCACAGAACTATATACTTGTTTATATTAATTCTGGCTAAATACTTTGTTGGGAGAATTAAAATTTTTGCTTAAATAAAAATTGCAAAACATTTTTAAAGAGTTAAAAGTCATGTTCCATCTCCATACTCAAGGAAATGTGCTATTTATCTTTTAAGGACAGAAAAATTATGCTAACATTCCACAGTGCTTCATAAACACCTTTAATGTGACAAAGGAAAAACACACTAACCATACTACTACCTTCCAAAGGTTTCTGCATCTGCTGAAAACAGCCAAACTAAGTGCCAGAGGTGAATCTGAGGATTCTTGGCTTATTACTTTGGAAAGTACTTTTCATTAAAATACTAAGCTTGAGACTGGCATTGCTGTATACAGGTTGCAACACGGGCATCCCATACAGGAAGGTCACACCAAGCCCCACTGTTCCATTTCCAAACTGGCTTCTGGTTAATGTGCCTGGGAAAGCAGTGGAAAATGGTCTAAGTGTTTGTGTTCCCTGCCACCCACATGGGAGACAAAGATGGAGTTCCAGGCTCCTGGCTGCTGTGTGGCCCAGTCTTGGCCATCTGCGGAGTGAACCATGAAAGGCACCACTGTGCACACAGGGGTTATGATTAGGCACGATCAGCACAGCAACTAGTTAGATCAGTGTGTAAACCCTTCATTCTACAAGATTACTCATGCACACACATGTATCTAAAAAGCAGTCAAGGTCCATGGATACAAGGGTCACTCAGCAAAGTCAATCTCTCTGCATTACTTGAAAGGCAGAGGTGCACACGGAGTGTGTACGTCCCCAAAGGCAGGAGCAGGAATTTCAAGCAGAGGTAACTCCTTGGGGAAGCACTTCAAAATCTTCAGTTGTGATTGCATTTCCTGCACAGAAATCCTTCTTTTACTATGCAGTAGGTGAGTGTGGAAATAAGCAAGCAGCAACCCAGCAACACATAAATTCAAATGAAAAGCTAACAAAATAATACTTAAGAGAAGTCATGGGGCTGCGCTGCAGCTCAATAGGCTAATCCACCTAGCGGCGCCGGCACACGGGGTTCTAGTCCCGGTCGGGGCGCTGGATTCTGTCCCGGTTGCCCCCCTTCCAGGCCAGCTCTCTGCTATGGCCCAGGAGTGCAGTGGAGGATGGCCCAAGTCCTTGGGCCCTGCACCTGCATCGGAGACCAGGATAAGCACCTGGCTCCTGCCTTTGCATCAGCGGGGTGCGCCGGCCACGGAGGCCATTGGAGGGTGAACCACTCTGCCTGTCAAAAAAAAAAAAAAAAAAAAAGAGAGAGAAGTCATGGAAGACTGGTGACAGACTGAAAATCACCACTTGTGCCTACAGCAAAGGAAACAAATGTCTCATTTGATGGGATTGATGAAGGCACAGGCAGCAGGGAGACTAGCACTAACAAGAAGGGAGGCAAACAGCCTGAAAACATCTCAGATATCACCCTCATCTATGGCTTGAAAATTCTTTCAAATTCTTACTAGAGATAAAGCCACTATTCTAGTGCACAAGGAAGGCAAACATCTTTCTCTCGTAGCAAACTAATAATCAAATCCTATTCATCACATAAAGCTAATTAAAATTTTATTTTGATTATATTTACAAAGAACTTCATCCACATCACTTTATGGCTCTGAAAAATATTCCAAAAGCTTCCATCTAATAAAAAGAAAAACCACCTGGGGTCTCTCTAGTCAGTCTTCCTAGCCTCTATACTGCCTTTAACTTCAGTTGGTAAGAACAGAGACTGAACAGTATCAAAAGGTTAACAACAAATATACTAGTTTACATTCTGTCTCATCACAATTCCAAAATACAAATTTCTTTCTCTCTTTTTCTTTTTTTTCTTTCTTTTTTTTTTTGACAGAGTTAGACAGTGAGAGAGAGTGAGAGTGAGAGAGAGAGAGAGAGAGAGAGAGAGACAGAAAGGTCTTCCTTCTGTTGGTTCACCCCACAGAATGACTGTCACAGCCGGCACACAGCCAGCTTCCTCCTGGTCTCCCATGCGGGTGCAGCGCCCAAGCACTTGGGCCATCCTCCACTGCACTCTCGAGCCACAGCAGAGAGCTGGACTGGAAAAAGAGCAACCAGGACAGACTCCAGCACTGCAACTGGGACTAGAACCCAGAGTGCCAGCGCTGCAGGTAAGGATTAGGCTAGTGAGCCACGGCGCTGGCTTCTCTCTTTTTTAATGTGGTAGGGATAAGATGGAGGAGAAGAGAATGGG